ATATATATATATATATATATATATATATATATATATATATATATATATATATATGTCTGAAGAGGTTAAAAGACTCTAGTCAATATTTGCGTCAAAAGCTAATGTATGTGCTTAGTATGCACGGTGCAGATAAAACAGGTCAAGAATATCCGTAGATAAAAAAAATATACCTTAAACATAGAGAGTTTATGTCAGTGATAAACAACAAGACAGAAGATAAAGTGGGAAGGAAAATGTAGAGACAGTTCGAATTGGAAGATCCATCCTCATTCAAAATTTGTGATCAACTAGAGAGAGATGGTGTGATGAAGCAAAATTAACTTTAGGTTTCCAGATCTGTAACTAGTTTGGGGAAGGTAAACATAGATGGAGATTCGTTACAGATCAAGTGTTGGTGAATGGATGAGGAGCGAAGGGTGGTCGACAATGTTAATGACCAAAGGAGTAGAGAAGGGTGGTCGGAGGAGGGAAGGATGGTCAACAATGTTGGTGATCAGAGGAGGAGGTAAGGGTGTTCGATGTTGTCTATAATCCCATAAAGGTAACAATGTTAGGTATTAGTGAAGGAGCGATCAAAAGAGAGAGATAGTATTACGACGAATAAGGGTGGGCTAGGGTTGTGAAGAGTATATATATTTTCTAATTATTAAATTAATGGAATAAATATTTAAAATGTAAATATTAATTAAAAGTGTATGATAGTCATCCCAAGATCTAAACCACAAGCAAACCATGTAAAAAAAACTATTTTTACAAGTTAAAATATTTTTGAATTGTACCCACTAAAAATAATAAACCATATGACCCTTTTGCAATTTTCTTTATTTTTAACTATAAAAACTTATTACAAGGTTACATGTGTTTATAATAATATTTTACAAAGACAAGGTTACCGATTCTCACAATAGTCATCATGTGGTGGATCACATCCATATTCTTTGTGGTTTTCATCATCTCACCTTGTTTACACTTTCCTATATTTTTTTCGACCATTACTTAATTTTCACGGCAAAACTTTCACTTTTTATCTTAAATAAAAGTAGCCATTTTCATAAAGTAATATCATAAAACCATTTGTTCCAAAAGTTTACATCCCAAAAATCAGAGTATGATCATTAATGTTGAATCAGAAAATACGAAAATTGACAATGTGTGTACAGTCACACCTTTGCCCTCTGATGATCATATGAAGTACTTGAAACATTTAATCCGAAACTGTAAGTTAAAGATTAGTTAGTTCCCCCAAAATATCATACACCACAATATACTTACAAGCATACAAACATTGGTCATCAGTTCATGATTGGTCCACCCAACTCGCTTGCAACATAAAGTTGGTTCGCACCTGGCCTTTAGTGTAGTGTTGGTCTGCCCAGGTATCTTGGCCTACCACACAAAGCAAGACCACCCTTAACCCACCACAAGATATATTGACATAAACAGCAAACATAAAAGCAAACAATCCAACATCAGAAGCAACTTTATAAATTAGTCTACATGTCTAACATCTTACTACAACATGTTCACATCATATAAGGGGTTCATACTACACTTTAGCTACAATTGGCATATCACCAAATGAATGCCCAGTTTTATGTAATCAAAGATAAGATAGACAGTCAAACATATGATCCTACTCTAAATCTACAACCAAACAAGGAACATGCAAGAAAGTCTAGACTAAGAGTTCTCAGGTTATCTTACATGAATACATACAACCCTACAACATTCACTTCGACGATCACCAATCCTATCGATACTCTAACTAGCATATCACTACTCCCCTACATCCTACCATGAAAAGATATACATTGTAACACATAGTATATTAAGGAAACTCACTTAAGCTAAGCAACATAACTTAACAACAACCTCAGCAACCAAACAACTAATGCAAGCTACCTAGTGTCAAATCAAAACCATCCCTTAGTCATAATACCTAATTCTACTCAAGTTTGACCAAAATTCAAACTGGGCAAAAGTCAACGGTCAACCATCATAGGTCGTTGTGGCCAAAGCACTTGACCAATTTGTGGTCACGAAAGGACAAAACTTCAGCAACCACTGTGTCACGGCCTAGGAGGCATGGCACCCCATGGCCAAAATTAACTTCTAAAAATGAATTAATCCCTTAAGTCCAACCCTCTAACTATCAAATTTGGATCCCACGAGTGTCCGAATGGATACATTTCCCAACTTTATATGTTCTAAGGCTCTAAACAACCAATATCTAAAACCCTAGATTCAAGAATGCACCTTTCTTCAAGTTTGGAGTAGAGAGAGTTCATTCATGCACTCTAAACTCCGCCATAAAGTTAGATTTGAAGTCTAATATTTTAACATCCCTAAATTTCATGACCAAAAATTTCATTTTAGATATGTTACTTATAAAACAGCTTACTAAAAAATATCATCAATACCATATAGATCCAAAATCCCAAAAGTCAATGCCATAAAACATGTCGTGGAATACTAATAATGTTAGAGTACAATCTCAAGAATCTCAAAATGTAGAAATCTGGCGTGCGTGTGATGTGCAACTACCACGCCAACTCCTTCCCCTTTGCTGACGAGGTACCTGAAACAAAACTGAAAAATGTAAGCACGAAGCTTAGTGAGTTCCCCCATCATACCATATACCATACAACAAACATACAATCATGAAATTCTCGGGTGCCGACCTACCCATGTTAGGCAGGTCTGGGGTGCTGACCTACCCTGCTAGGTAATTCTGGGGTGCCCGACCTACCCATGTCAGACAGTTCTGGGGTGCTGACCTACCCTCCGGTTTATTCAAACTGGGTTGGGGACTATTTCACCCCTACTACTACTACATAAAACATAACATAAACATACCGCCAGACATATTTAAGGTGCCCGACTTACCCTTCGATCCTAACAACCGAACTTGGGGCTATTCCCCTCCTACTACCACTATCACATATAACATATCATCCTAGCACATAAACATAACATGCAGTATCAAACCAAACGATTATCACAAAGATAATCATCTCAACTATAATCAGCTACTAGTGGGCCGAAATTGCTGCCTTCGACCCACTTCTACTGGAAGGTAACTTACCTCGTAAAGCGAAGAGTCTAAACTGTCCTTGCTGCCTGGATCAGCTCCTATCAAACCCTACACATAATCATCTTCCTTTGTTACCATTTCATGGTCAACTTAAGTCAAGGTCAAACTCAAAGTCAACATCATGCTCAAAGTTACTTTTGGTCAACTCATCGAGTTGGTCCACCAACTCATCAAGATCCATGATATGAAGTCAGGACCCTTTGCAATAGACTCGGCAAGTTCATCCTTTGACTCATCGAGCCCATCTTCATTCTAGTTGGTATGTTTAGTCCTTGACTCTTCGAGATCCTCATGAACTCGTCGAGTTCATCTTCATGCAAGGTGATGCTCTTAGAGCTGGACTCGTCGAGTTCTTCCTTAACTCGCCGAGTCCATCTTCATATTCTTGGTACTTGGCCTTGAACTCGCCGAGTTAGCTCATACACTCGTCGAGTCCCATGATTTCCAGGTCCTTAATGAGTCCAACTGACTGAGTGTTCTTCTAACTCAACCCATGGTACATTATCAGAAGGGATTTGGTGTGAAATGTTACCTGGCTCGCCGAGTCCCTCTATAACCAAAACTATCCACTCGATTTCAGTGGATCTTTATGCATTCAAAACATAGATCTAACCTTCTAGGGTCCATAATACACGTAAAGTTTAATAGGATGAAAATCCTAGATGATCGACAAGATTCAAACTGGTAAATTAAGAACACAAAGATGATTAAACAAATGTTGAATGATTAAAGTCACGCCTCAGATGAACTCGTTGAAGAATTTCAACTGTAGAGGGGTGTTAGGGCTACAAGATCAATAAAACAGTTAACCAAAATAAGATGCATGCATGCACCATATATACTCTAAACCTAGTATTAAATATGGGAGGACAGGCCCAACCCATATACAAAAAGGACTAATAACAAAGCCTAATGACACAACAATTAAATATTCAACAATCTCCCCCTTTACGTTAACTGAGACTGTAGCCCATCATCCAGTGATTCGCTTCTGCACTTCATAGATTTTTGGAATAAAGCTCAGCAACATCTTGTGAACTTGGATATACCAAAGTATCATATCAGAAAAACATTTGACATCGTCCTTGTGGTTACCCTTGAACTTAGTAATCAGGTCCAATATAAATTCCAGATAGGCAATGTTGTATAAATGTTTGTCTTCGAGATAGAAGTAAGACTTGTGAAAGTCAGCTTCCATTCGTTCTCTGTACTGATATACTACGAACCATCCTTCCTTGTATATCTTCCCTGGATTTAATTTCTCGAAGTCTTTTTAAGCTTCCTTAGGAACGACAATCGTCTTCTTCTTCAAAACAGTGGCAATATCCACATGCATCAATCCAACTTCTTGAATATAAGATTTGATCATTAGTTGGAGATGGAACATAACAGGCTTGTACTTCTCCTTCTCTCTCAAAAACATGTTGTAAAGTACGATCTAATAATTTGGATTCAAACAAGGCAATTCTGCGAGGATGAATTTGTAGGCTTGACAAGCTGATCCTCTCGCCACTTTAAACTTCGCATTGGGGAAGCTTTCAGTCTCGATTGGCCCAGTGACCTTCACATCAACTATCTTGTGGACACTCCAAGTTTCATACTGGGACTTTATGTGGTTCAAGTAGAATGAGAACAATAGTTGATTAGCTCCGATGTCTGAGAAAGGAGCATTCACAACCTTCACAAAAGCATGAAACCTAAGTGCTTTTGGAGTAATTGGAAGATCAAGTTGTGATCTTGAGAATTTTGACGATTAAAGGAAGCAACAAGATCCAACCAATATTGACTTGGAAGTTCTACAACATCATGCTAGATTCTCTTTAGGGTCCACTTTGGAAATAATAACATTTTACTTTTGAGTGTGGCATGAGCTTCCTTATATGCTCTTTCTTTTTTCCTTAGCTTCCTAGACGATTCGTTGAGTTTCATTCAATTCAGCATCACGAGCCTTCCGCCTTTTAAGTTCAGCTTCATCAGGCTCTTCGTCTTCATTATCATCGATTATGGGCTCATCTTCGATTAAATTTTCCTTACCCTTAGGTTCTTTCTTGATAATAGGCTTGATAGGGACTTTGGGAGGTTCAACATTAGATCCACCTTCTCCCCGTTGTTTCGGATCAGACGATTGAGGAGAAACACCCTACAAACGATACAACATGGCAAAGATAGGGCCCCACTTTTCAGCAACAGTAATAGAAATCATTGAGTCCTTGGTCTCAATGATATCTGAAAGAAAATTGGTGACATCCGTAATGCAGCTTCGCACAACTACCCTCTCAGATAGCAAATCCTTGACCTGTTTCTCAGACTGTTGAAGCTTGAGATCTAACACTTTGACGTTTTCTGTATTTATATCCAAAGCGTCCATAACTTTACTTTCCATCGCCAAATCATCCTGAAGCTTTGTAATTTGCGGAGTGAGGGATGATTTAAACAATACATGGTCTTGCTGCAAGCCTGTACGAATCTTCTCCAAGTTGACCTTCTCAGTTTTGAACATGGCACCCAAGTTCTAAAGGGCCTTATTCGCGGATGTAATGTTATTGTTGTAGGTTGTTCTGTAATTCTCCATGAAGGTGGTTGTTTCAACAATTAGTTTATCGAATTTTTCGGTCGTTGACTTGCAAACATCAACAAACTCTGAAACTGCAACATTCATCTTTGCAGCATTCACATCATGTTCTTTCATTTTGCGCTCAAACAATGACTTAAATGTTGCTTTTGAATAGGCGTCATAGGAGGAAGCCTTGGAGACAAGTAGCAGTTGGTCAAGTTTCTCATGAATCACTTTAAGCTGTCCTTTAGAAAGTGTGGCTTAATCTTCACTGTCAGTCCTGATCTGAAACGGACTATAGGTGAATCCACCAAGATCATCATCATCACCATCATCTCTAAAGATCATATTTGGATCATCATTACGAATGGGAGAGATGGGTGAAGAAATATAGGTAGAGAATACTGAAGTTGTAGCCCTGTATCAGATATGTTGACCGTGACTTCAGGGTTCGTTGAAGAGAGGGGTGTTATGGTTGAATCAGTTAAGATTGGTGTGGAGATAGGAATAGTTGTAGGTCGAGATGAGGTAATAGGAGGGGGACATGGAACAATTGTAATAGGGGTTGAGGTTGTGTTTGGTGAAGGAGGAGGAGAAGGAACAGAGTTACTAACAGTTTGGTTTACCAATGGGTTCATAGTCTCCTTTTCAATGTGAACTAAAGGCTCTTGGTTCATAGTCGGGTCCTCATTACAAACAGTCTCTTCCTCCTCATTACGAACTGGTTGATTTTCTTCAATTCGAACATCCGATTCAGTCTTAGAATCTGGCCCTTCACTTGCTGGTGCCTTTCTCTTTTTAGGAGAAGGTTTTTTTGCTATGCTTAGTGATCTTTAGATCGGTTTGTCTGCCTGTAGACTGTTATATGATTATCTGATATATGGGCACATGTTTGATTGGTGGTTGAGGCTTATCTCCTTTGTGCGAGAGCCAACAGACCAGGGTATTCCAACCCGATAGTTATGGGTCTGGAGTATTCCATCCCAAGGATGATTGGACTCATAGTATGTAGGCATTCCAACCTGATGGTTGTTGTAACGCCCCAAATTTCAAATATAATTATAACTTAACATAGTCCCAAACCTTCCAAAAATCAAGATTCAAATACTAATGTAATTATTAATAATAATAACGGAAGCAAATATAAATTTATTTAAACACTTGGTGCGCTATGTCTTCCTCAAAACTTGTCGCCTTCTTCAAGTCTGAACTTTATCCTTTCCATTCCCGCTGCCACTTGCTACGTTATTTCCTGGGTTGCGTGCATTTAAAGATTCTAATGGGTAAGCCTAGGGGCTAGTGAGTTCGTGGTTTTCATGCATATTGACGTCAATAAAATAAAAACAATGCAACAATTTATCAATATAATTCTTTTCATTTCTTTCCACCCTTGATGACACATTAGGGAACTACTGTCATTTTCAGGGAACAATTCCCTCCGCCGGGCACAACAAATATGCTTACGGCTAGATAAACAGAGCGTAAGCTCTCCGCCGCGTACTAACACCCTGTACGACGACTAATAATAAGACCGTGTAAATACACCTGTTCCCTATATGTCACCCACCATTTTCACCATTTTATATGAAATAATTCACAAAATTTCACACAAATATTCATAGCAATAACAACGGTAACATATAATTGCAAATAATTTAGAATCAACTTTTCATGCCAGCAACCACAAAATTCACACAAAACTCACCTTATTGGCTGTTAGGACTTAACCGGAGCTTGCCGCGCCACTCACACCCTACATTCCACCAACAAATATTTTCTAAGACTATAATCCTATCAAACATCATATGCTTCCGTTTTGGTTCAACCATCAACATCATTCGACCATCGTTAATTATGACACACGTAATAACTCTTTTAGAAGATTATAATACTTCCCGTTAAAAATGCTCTAGAACAATAAATAATCAATAATTAAATAAGTGAGTGACGTTAAAATATTTGAAGGGATTATTTGTAATATCCGAAATTATATTGAACTATATTATACCAAAATGTAGGGCTAAAACCGAACTATGTTAAATCCTACAACTTCAAAAGGATTGGCAAGTTTATAAAACTTAGGGGTTCTTTCTGAAAATTTCAGCTTCCTATATGATAGTATAAATTAAATAGTTTTAAAAGTTGAGGGGCTAATATTGTATTTTCATATTTGAAAAGAAAATGGCATATACATCGATTTGCAAACAAGTAAATAAAAAAGAAATGTACAGTTTGCTTCGCTGTAATCACCACTTTTTTTCTAACCACATGAAGAAAAAAAATAAACAAATTATCAATAATACTAAACTCTTTTTATTTTATTTCTAAAAGGTACGGCACACGTTGACCCTCCATACCCGAACTAGCTTTCTTCCTCACCCGACACTCTTTTTTTTTCTTCCTTTTCTGCCATTTTTATTAAACTGGAAAGCTTGAAAAATCTTGTAAAATTTAATTGTAAAATCACCATTAAGCATCTCCACTTCTTGTTATCAATAAAATTTAACAAATAAACTCACAATCATACAAATTTCAGGGTTCATTATACCAAAAGTTCCATTCCCAAGATTTTATCAAATTGCTATTGGTTTGATCGAATTGAGACTGTAGGTTGAACCAAAATACGTTTACCATGCATATACATCAATCTAAGCTATTATATTAAGCTTAATTCAAATAATCATACCTTAATTTCTAAGAAAACTCTGAAATCCTTCACAACCTTCTACCTCCGATTTCTTCCTCAATTCTTCACCCTTTTTCGAAATTCCAGTGGGGTTTCCACTAGAAATTTCGAGCTCTATATATTTCCTAAGGTTTCATCAGTTACTATCCCCTCAGTTGCTCGAATTTAAGGCTTAATCATGGATGACGGTTTCTAGACATTATACCTCATAATTCCCTTCTAATCAACCCATTAATTTTGAATTAATCATCTTTTATTAACATAACCTGATTATATATATGGTATATATATTTTTATACAAGTTACTACAAACTTCCCCCCTTAGAAAAATTCCATCCTCGGAATTTTGAATTAAGCAAATAAGTGAGGGTATTTAGCCTTCATATCTCGCTCGGTCTCCCATGTTGCATCTGAACCTTTATGATACCTCCACTGAACTTTCACCAGTGGTATCTCCATATTCCTTAATTTTCTGACCTTTCGATCTATTATTGCGACGGGTTCTTCTGTATATCGCAGCTTCTCATCAACCTTAATTTCTTGAAGTGGCACTTCCATGGCGGCATCCGCTAGACACTTCTTTAGATTAGAGACATGGAACGTGCTATGAATGCCCTGCATTTCCCTTGGTAACTCCAATCGATATGCTACTTCTCCAACTCGTTCCTTTATTATAAAGGGTCCAACGTAGCGAGGACTTAACTTCCCCCGCTTACCAAAACGAACAACGCCCTTCCATGGGGACACCTTTAACATAACTTTATCACCGACCTGAAACATTATTGGCTTTCTCCGCTTATCTGCATAACTTTTCTGCCGATCCTGAGCAACCTTAATGTTATCCCTAATCACCTGGATTTTGTCGGTAGTTTTCTGAACAAGTTCAGGTCCAGCCAACTGTTTCTCCCCCACCTCATTCCAACATAATGGAGTTCTACATTTCCTGCCATATAAAGCCTCATATGGTGCGACTTTTATACTTGCATGATAGCTATTGTTGTAGGAAAACTCAATTAACGGCAAATGAGTTTCCCACGACCCTCCAAAATCAATAACACAAGACCTTAACATGTCTTCCAAGGTCTGTATTGTCCGTTCACTTTGCCCATCTGTTTGCGGGTGGTATGCCGTGCTCAATTTTACTTGAGTACCCATTTCTCGTTGGAAGCTACCCCAAAATGTCGATGTAAAACGACTATCCCGATCCGAAATAATAGATAATGGAACTCCATGCAGTTTCACTATCTCATCAACGTATAATTTAGCTAGCCTTTCTAACGGGTATGTCTCCTTAATCGGAAGGAAGTGCGCCGATTTGGTTAATCTATCCACAACTACCCAAATCGCGTCATAACCTTTTGGTGTCCTTGGTAACTTAGTCACAAAGTCCATTGTGATGTGTTCCCATTTCCACACTGGAATCTCCATTGACTGTAACTGACCGTATGGCCTTTGGTGCTCAGCCTTCACCTTCAAGCACGTCAAACACCTTTCAACAAAATAGGCTATATCCTTTTTCATACCAGGCCACCAGTAAGATTTTCGTAAGTCTTGATACATCTTGTTTGTTCCTGGATGGATTGAGTACTTTGACATGTGCGCTTCCTTGAGAAGTAAGTTACGCACTTCACCCACTCGTGGTACCCAAACCCTTCCTTGGAAACACTTCAAGCCATAACTATCCTTTTCCAATGATTGTATTACTCCCGCCATCCTTTCACTTTTCCATTTCTCTTCCTTCGAGGCCTCCTCTTGATTCTTTCTCAAATCATCTAATTGATGGGTTTTAGGTAAAACAAATAAACTAGAAAACAATTCCTAAGTTCACATGCAACCTACTTTGGATCTATGTTTTATCTATTGAACATACAACTTTGAATTGCAAAACAAGAACCCTAGAGGAGAGAGGCTATAATCGAAATCTAGAAACTAGGGTTTAGTAATTACATACCTTTCAATTGTTATAGTAAACAATTGATGATTCCCTTGATCTTGATCTTGATCTTCTTGGAAGCTTAGCACCACAAGTGTAATGCCTCTAATGGAATCACACCCAAACTAGCAAGAACGAAATTAGAGAAGAGAGGGAAGAGGGAGTATGCAAAATTTCGGCCCTTAGGGTTTCTTCCAAAGAAAAGAGTGACCAAAACATGAACCAGGAGGCTCCTTATATAGCTGAGGGATCTAGGGTTTAGGAAAACCCTAGTTATCCTTTGCTTAGGGCCTAAGCAAACCCAAGGGCCTTATTCAAGCCCCTATGGACGAAATTATTAGGGTTTCCCCTAAAGATTTCGTCCACCCTTATCCAAGGGGGTTCTAGAGCCTTCCACTCAACTATTAGATAATTGCAAACTAGTCCCTGCACCTTATAATTAATTCTTTTAACCCCAAAATTAATTCTAATTAATTTCTGGCTAACAATTAATTAAACCAAATGATTTCTTATTAATATATTAATCTTTTAACATATTAATTCATTTATATTAATTTATTAATCTTATAATAAATTAATATCTCTCCTTTCATAATTTCCTTGTCCGGTTGCTAGGTCTGAGGGCAACCCAAAAGGACTGTGCTGCTATCAATTCAAGTACATACCAATTATAGTTATAGGCTTAGACACCTAATCCAACACTAATAAGCTGGTGGTTATGCTAATCTTCATCATTCGAGTCTTCGGTGACTCTCTTCTTTCCTTACGACTTAGTGCATCAGCTACAACATTTGCCTTCCCTGGATGGTACAATATCTCACAATCATAATCTTTTAATAGTTCCATCCAACGTTGCTGTCTCATGTTCAGATCTTTCTGATCGAACAAGTATTTCAAACTCTTGTGATCAGTGAAGATCTGACACCGTGTCCCATACAAATAGTGTCTCCAAATCTTTAAAGCGAACACTACTGCAGCCAACTCCATATCATGCGTTGGGTATTTACGCTCGTGAACCTTTAACTGTCGTGAGGCATAAGCAATCACCTTACCGTTTTGCATCAAAACACACCCCAAGCGTAACTTAGATGCATCACTATAAACAACAAAGCCATCATTGCGTTCTGGTAAAGATAATACTGGTGCACTGCTAAGCTTTTCCTTTAAGACGTTAAAGGCATTATCTTGCTCTGGCTTCCATTCGAACATCACATTTTTTCTTGTCAGGGTAGTTAGCGGTGCAGCTATGCGCGAGAAGTCTTGTATAAACCGTCTATAGTATCCTGCCAACCCAAGAAAACTTCGAACTTCTAATGGGGTCCTTGGTGGTTCCCACTTTTCAATCGCCTCAATCTTTGCTGGGTCCACCTTGATACCTTGTTCGTTTACAACATGTCCCAAAAACTGGACTTCCCGAAGCCAAAACTCACACTTCAAAATTTTGGCAAATAATTTTTCTTTCCTCAATAAACTAAGTGTTAGCCACAGATGTTGCTCATGGTCTGCCTTACTTTTAGAGTATATCAATATGTCATCGATAAAGACAATTACAAACTTGTCTAGGTATGGCTTGCACACCTGGTTCATCAGATCCATGAATGCAGCTGGTGCATTGGTCAAACCAAATGGCATTACTAAAAACTCGTAATGGCCATACCTAGTTCGAAAGGCTGTCTTCGACACATCTTCTTCTCTAACCTTCAGCTGGTGATACCCCGACCGCAAATCGATCTTTGAGAAGTAACTTGCCCCCTGGAGTTGGTCGAATAGGTCATCAATTCTCGGTAATGGATACCAGTTCTTTATAGTCACCTTGTTTAACTCCCTGTAGTCAATGCACATTCGCATTGTCCCATCCTTCTTCTTGACAAATAGTACTGGTGCACCCCACGGTGAGGTACTCGGCCGAATAAAACCCTTGTCGAGCAAATCTTGCAACTGAGCCATCAACTCCTTCATTTCGGTTGGTGCTAACCGATAGGGCGCACGTGCTATCGGTGCTACTCCTGGGGTAAGATCAATTCGAAACTCCACTTGCCTATCCGGTGGCAAGTTAGTTAGGTCATCAGGGAACACATCTTGGAACTCGCGTACAACTGGTATATGTGTTATTTCACGCTTGTCCTGCTTGGCATCGAGAACATATGCCCAATAACTTTGACACCCTTTCTTTAGATGACGAGTTGCCTTAGTCACTGATATCAAAATAGAGTCCTTAATTCGCCGATCACCGTAAATCTTTACCATTCCTTTTTCTGGCACCCAAACTCGAACAATCCTATTTTCACAATCTATAATCGCTTGGTTTTTCGACAACCAATCCATCCCTATAACAATATCAAAATCACCTAGGGCTATAGGTATTAATTTTAATGGTAGCACACTACCTTCTGTTTCGATAGAGCAGTCATCATATTCCTCTCTTACTACTACCCAATGATCATCAGCAGTTTCAATTTCTAAGGTATGTTCTAGAGTCTTTGCATTTCTACCCAGGTTTTTGCAAAAAGTAGTAGACACAAAAGATCTATTTGCACCAGAATCAAATAACACCCTAGCATGAATTGAGTTTACTAGCAAAGTACCTGTCACCACATCCGGGGTCTCCTGAGGCTCCTGAGCCGTCATGCGAAAAGCTCTAGCTTTTGGTCTACCAGTGTCAGCCTTTTTATCCGTCGACCGATTGTCTGTTATCCTGACTTGATTGTTGTTACCCTTACTCTGGGGACATTCCGACTTAATGTGGTTTGGGGAACCACACCCGTAATATACTCTTCCTGTCTTACATTCTGTGGCTATGTGCCCTGGCTTCCCACACTTGTAGCAAACTTTCTGATTCATGTTACACTCCCCCTTATGATAACGGCTGCATTTCGGACATTGCTTTACTCCAGAGCTCTGATCAACCTTACGTTCTTGCCCTAAAGTCTTGCCCTTCTTCGAATCATTATTTGTACCATCCCATTTTCTTTTCCCCAAAGCCCTGTCTTCACCTTGACGATTCTTCTCACGTTCGCGACCTTCTACAGCATCAACAGCAGACTGGAAAGTACCCAGTTTTTGAATTTGCAAAAATTCACGGATAGTTGTTCTCAATCCCCATATATAGCGTTCCACCCTTCTTTCTTCTGTAGAAATATAAAATTCGGCAAACCTAGCTTTCTCCGTGAACTTAGTGGTGTACTCTCGCACAGTCATATTCCCCTGCTCCAACTTTAAAAATTCTTCCTCCAACTGTTTAACCGTTGTACGAGGGCAAAACTTTTCTTTAAAAATTCTTAGGAACTCATCCCATGACATATTCTTGGCCGCCTCACGCCCCCTAACCTCCTTCACCATGCCCCACCAATGTATTGCCTCCCCTTTTAGCATTGTCGCAGCATAAATCACCTTGTCCTCATCCGCACACTTACTAGTATCGAACGTTCCCTCAATCTCCATGATCCATGTTGATGACAAAATGGGATCAATTTCTCCGTTAAAAATGGGTGGCTTGTAGTTCATGAACGTCTTGTAACTACAACCCCGCCGATCGTGGTTGCCATGATGCCTTGTGGGTTGTGCAATACTTGGTTCACGACTCATATTTGGTGTACTGTACTCGTAGTCCTTTTCACCTCCACCCAAGTTACCCTCATACTCACCCATTATCGCTTCTCGTGCTTGAGCAACTACATCTGGTAAGGTGTCTCGAATTGCTCAAGCAATCTCATTAGCCAACTCTTCTCTAGTGATCGTGTTTGCCGCACGACCCCTTCCACGACCTCGACCTCGACCGCGGTGGGATCCAGAGCTACCATGGGCCGATTGTACGGGTATCGGTGCTGTAACAGCCCCTCGGCCTCTTCCCCTACCTCTACCTCTTCCTTGGCCCTGTCCACGACTAGCGTTTGGGTTCAGTGGGGTTTCTGGAACATCGCTTGGTGCTCTAACATAAGCTCCAATTGGGATGCGCTCCTCCACCGGAGTGACCCTAGTGAACCTCCCAGATCTTCGTGAAGACATATCAACTACATATTTATGTTTATAACACAATAAGTATAACAAACATAAATTTTATTCCAAATTATTAAAACTTCAAAAATAGACATATGTCTTGTTCACATCAAGTCACTCAAGCTAACAACCAAGAGAAATAATAATAAAAAAAAAGACAAATCATTGCACTCCTACTTCCTAATTTTTAAAAACGATGTCGTCATATTTCAATATTCTCTTTCCCTCCTTCAAGTACTTCCTTATCTTTTTAGCTTTTCGATCTCCGGGACCACTTTGAATGACCAACACTTCGGCCTGAGGTGGTTCTCTTCCAACCACCTTATCTAGGAATTCGTAAGTCGCAACCTTGGCTTGTTTTGCCCGAGCCACAAACCCTTCCCACAACTTAGTGATAGTGGGTTTCCTTAGCTCCAACACCTCTTGTTCCAACCTTCGTATCTTACGTTTACTCTTCTCAGCAACATCAACCCTTATTTGGTTCTCCTGCACGAGCCTTGACCTATGTTCATCTATCTCTTCAATCTTTCTTTTCAAACTGTGAATCTCGAGTTGTGCCTGTGGCATTTCATCTTTATAAAGTCGCTCCCAATAGGTACCAGGACTAGTTGGCGTGTACTCCACATAGGGCATATGGAACGTTTCGTATCTTTGCTCCACATGGTACTCCACGTGATTTCCCTCGGGTTCCTCCTCGGGGTCTTCTTCAGGCTCCTCCTCAGGATCTTCTTCGGGCTCCACCTCGGATTCCACATCCTCGTCTTCTTCATCCCGTTCAGAGAGGCTAAGTGGGGTTGTTGGTTCCAGACTGCCTTCTGAATTAGAGAGCTCTAACTCGACCTTCAACTTCTCATGGGGAAGTAACCCACTACTACCCTCAACTGACTCCCCACCATCGAAGATTGCCTTTCCATGATCCATCATACCTACAAACGAGACGCATTCCAGATTAGGCGATGTACCGCTCCTCCCGTTTAAGCTTAGGTGTTTAAGCAACGACTAATCGGCTTAAACTAGGCTCTGATACCAACTTGTAACGCCCCAAATTTCAAATATAATTATAACTTAACATAGTCCCAAACCTTCCAAAAATCAAGATTCAAATACTAATGTAATTATTAATAATAATAACGGAAGCAAATATAAATTTATTTAAACACTTGGTGCGCTACGTCTTCCTCAAAACTTGTCGCCTTCTTCAAGTCTGAACTTTATCCTTTCCATTCCCGCTGCCACTTGCTACGTTATTTCCTGGGTTGCGTGCATTTAAAGATTCTAATGGGTAAGCCTAGGGCCTAGTGAGTTCGTGGTTTTCATGCATATTGACGTCAATAAAATAAAAACAATGCAACAATTTATCAATATAATTCTTTTCATTTCTTTCCACCCTTGATGACACATTAGGGAACTACTGTCATTTTCAGGGAACAATTCCCTCCGCCGGGCACAACAAATATGCTTACGGCTAGATAAACAGAGCGTAAGCTCTCCGCCGCGTACTAACACCCTGTACGACGACTAATAATAAGACCGTGTAAATACACCTGTTCCCTATATGTCACCCACCATTTTCACCATTTTATATGAAATAATTCACAAAATTTCACACAAATATTCATAGCAATAACAACGGTAACATATAATTGCAAATAATTTAGAATCAACTTTTCATGCCAGCAACCACAAAATTCACACAAAACTCACCTTATTGGCTGTTAGGACTTAACCGGAGCTTGCCGCGCCACTCACACCCTACATTCCACCAACAGATATTTTCTAAGACTATAATCCTATCAAACATCATATGCTTCCGTTTTGGTTCAACCATCAACATCATTCGACCATCGTTAATTATGACACACATAATAACTCTTTTAGAAGATTATAATACTTCCCGTTAAAAATGCTCTAGAACAATAAATAATCAATAATTAAATAAGTGAGTGACGTTAAAATATTTGAAGGGATTATTTGTAATATCCGAAATTATATTGAACTATATTATACCAAAGTGTAGGGCTAAAACCGAACTATGTTAAATCCTACAACTTCAAAAGGATTGGCAAGTTTATAAAACTTAGGGGTTCTTTCTGAAAATTTCAGCTTCCTATATGATAGTATAAATTAAATAGTTTTAAAAGTTGAGGGGCTAATATTGTATTTTCATATTTGAAAAGAAAATGGCATATACATCGATTTGCAAACAAGTAAATAAAAAAGAAATGTACAGTTTGCTTCGCTGTAATCACCACTTTTTTTCTAACCACATGAAGAAAAAAAATAAACAAATTATCAATAATACTAAACTCTTTTTATTTTATTTCTAAAAGGTACGGCACACGTTGACCCTCCATACCCGAACTAGCTTTCTTCCTCACCCGACACTCTTTTTTTTTCTTCCTTTTCTGCCATTTTTATTAAACTGGAAAGCTTGAAAAATCTTGTAAAATTTAATTGTAAAATCACCATTAAGCATCTCCACTTCTTGTTATCAATAAAATTTAACAAATAAACTCACAATCATACAAATTTCAGGGTTCATTATACCAAAAGTTCCATTCCCAAGATTTTATCAAATTGCTATTGGTTTGATCGAATTGAGACTGTAGGTTGAACCAAAATACGTTTACCATGCATATACATCAATCTAAGCTATTATATTAAGCTTAATTCAAATAATCATACCTTAATTTCTAAGAAAACTCTGAAATCCTTCACAACCTTCTACCTCCGATTTCTTCCTCAATTCTTCACCCTTTTTCGAAATTCCAGTGGGGTTTCCACTAGAAATTTCGAGCTCTATATATTTCCTAAGGTTTCATCAGTTACTATCCCCTCAGTTGCTCGAATTTAAGGCTTAATCATGGATGACGGTTTCTAGACATTATACCTCATAATTCCCTTCTAATCAACCCATTAATTTTGAATTAATCATCTTTTATTAACATAACCTGATTATATATATGGTATATATTTTTTTATACAAGTTACTACAGTTGTGGGCCGAGGGTATATCAACCCGAGGATGATTGGACCCATAGTATGTCTGCATTCAAACCCGATGGTTGAGAGCCTGGGGAATTCCAACCCGATGATTGATTGGGCTCATAGTATGTAGTTATTGTATATGCGTTATTTATTGAGCGAGTATTTTGGGAGAACTCACTAAGCTTTGGGCTTACAGTTTTGGATTTTGTTTTAGGTACTTCAAATGATTTCGGGAAGGTGAAGGCGAAGGCGTGACTGTACACTTCCTCGTTTTATGATTATGATTTCTGGGAAAACTCTAATATTGATTTATTTTGAAAATGATTTGTGAACATTACTGGTTTTGGATGATTTTTCAAACAATTTATGAACTTGGGTTGATTTTGAAAAGTTTAATTTTTTGTGAATTTTATGGATGTTACAGATCTTGAGTTGGGATCGGTGGTGTTTGCTCTCAAGATCTGGAGGCATTACCTCTATGAGGTCTGTTGTACCATCTAAACGGACAACAAGAGCTTGAGACACATCATGGATCAGCCGAACCTGAACATGAGGCAACGCAGGTGGCTGGAGGTATTTAAGGATTATGACTACGAGATCCTTTACCATCTGTGTAAAGCGAACGTGGTGGCAGATGCCTTGAGCCGCAAGTTGGCTGGATCTTCATTTTTGGTATCATGTATGAGGATTTTCGTGGATTCTCCACTCGTGAGCTTGATCAGAGAAGATGAGACTTAGCGTGTACAACAGGAGAATTGGAAAATTGAGAGGATTAGAGGCGAGATCACTAGATTCGTGCGGGATAGTCGTGGATTATTGACCCGTTGTGGTCGAGTGTGGGTTCCGATGTTTGGTGGCATCATATATATTAATCTAGAGGGGGCTTATAAGTCTCATTTTTCAATTCACCCAGGGTCCACCAAGATTTATCGGGATCTGAGGTTGAGTTACTAGTGGCCATTCATGAAAAGAGAGATCGCTTGGTACGTCGAGAGGTGCTTGACCTGCAGGATGGTCAAGGCCGAGCATTAGAGGCTGCAGCCTATGGAGGTTCCCATATTGAAATGAGAGTAGATCATGATGGAATTTATCACCAAGTTGCCGAGGACGTCAAAGAGATATAATGCTATATGGGTCATCGTGAATCGATTGACCAAGAGTGCCCATTTTCGGATAATTCGGGATAGTTCGCCGGCCGACAAGTTGGACGTTATGTATATTCGCAAGATCGTTGCTCGCCACGAGGTACTCGTCTCTATTGTCTCAGACCATGATGTTCCATTCACCTCCCGTTTCTGGAAGAATTTCCTTGAGGAACCGGGCTCAAGACTGTATTTTAGCACCACTTAGCATCTGCAGACAGATATGTTGAGGGCATGCGTCATTGATTTTGGTGGGATCTGGGACTCTTACCTACCCCTTGTAGAGTTATCATACAACAATAACCTTCAGTCCAGCATTGGTGCTCCACCTTTCGAGCTGTTGTATGGTCGTATATGTCGTACCCCAGTATACTGGGGCGAGGTTGGTCATCAGGTCATGGGACGGACCGAGGTTGTTCTACAGACTACCAAGCAGATTCGGCAGACCAGGCAGCGATTGCAAACTGCTTAGAGTCGGTAGAAAAGCTATGTCGACCGGTCCCGATCCGAGTAGGAGTTTCA